TTGCAGCCCACAGATCCGGCTGAAGATACTAAGCACAGCCTGGGTGGTGAAAGCCAGTTTCTCAACAGGCATCTTCCTCTTTTCAGGAACTCATCCCATTGCAAAGAAATCCTTACCATGTGCCATGTTTCCTGGTGGTTTGATCCCATCCTCTGGCCAAGTGGGCATCACACACTGAGTCCAAGCCTGGAGGCTGCTGGAGCACTCAGAATTGTGCATCCACATCAGGCTCGGGCTGCAGCTCCGCAGAGACCTGCAAAGCTCCTCAGAGCCTCGGGGGCCATTCGGAGAGGTTTGTTGTGGTGAAGGCAGGTTAGGGTAGGAGTGGGGAATGGGGAGAGGTCTGATTTTAGGGAGCTGGTAAGGGTCACTGGGGAACTTTGAGAAGAATAGTATCTTCCTCTGTGTTGTGATCACACTCAAGGACACTGTTAGTAGTGCTCACCCCAAGCAAAAGCCATACCCTCAAATGAGGCTTTGCCTATGCTACTTCAGGGCTGTCCATAGGCTTGGACTATGACCAGTTCTGCAGTTCATCACTGTAGACCCAGTCTCCCCCTGAATGTCCTGAGCTTGGGGAGATTTATGGGTTACAGCTGAACGTGTTACACATTACCTTTTGCACCAGGTGGTCCTGCTTTCCCAGGGAATCCTTGGTCTCCCATTTCTCCTGCAAAGAAAGACTTGTTTTTCTGTGCACGGTGTGAACTGACCAGAGAGGAGCAGCCACAGAAGCCTGGGCAGCTGAGCTTTGGCTTTCACAGAAACAAGGGAGCTAAGTTTTGTTAATTAGATTTAGTCTTGCACCATACCTTGCTCTTTCACCTTACATCTTTTTTAACTGTTGAAGCCTCACTACACTGGCACTGCCAGTTCAAGTCTTAATTTTCTGTTTGCATATGAATTCCTATGAGCTTTGCATGCCATGTAGCCAGTCCATGGATTTTTGCTGTGGTGGATCTGCTCCCTCTGCTGTTGTGATTCACCTTCTCTGCCAGGTGGCTATAAAAACCCTGAAGGAACCCCCATCTCTTTTGCTTCCTGGGGTAGAGGGTGGCAGTACAGTTCCCAAACTGGCAGGAGCATCACAGCCTCCGTCCCACCCAAACTGCTCAATACGGACTCAGAAAATAAATGGATGATTTTACTATAGAAGAAACAAATTAGTTATGACACATCATCTCCCACTTGAGACTTGTGACAGGACTCAAGGAAGAAACAGGTGACTCCATGTGTACCAACACACCTCTAGTTGGGGTGTTTTCCACTACCATTCGATTCCCCAGTTGCTCCCAGCAGCCAGGACCAGGCCAGCCACTGCTCCAGACTCAGCCTCCTTCCCCTGCCCAAAGCAGCAAAGCCATCTCATATCACAGTGCTCATCACTGGCTTTGGGGGTCTCACCTTTTGTTCCTGGGAGACCTGGTTCTCCTTTTGGGCCAGTGGCACCTGGGATCCCTGGGCATCCTCGTAGAACGGCAAGTCGGTCAGCATCACCCAGTCCCACTATTCTCACCTCTGAGAAAATGAAGACAGTCTTTGTGGATATTATTAGGGCTCTGAAATGTCTTGGAGAGGAAACCAAGCCCTCTGGATTTGAGGAACAAGGCAATCAAAAACAATGAGACTCGGAGTTTGGAGGTGCATGGATTGACAGATGGCATTGAGGATCTCACATATTAGAGGAGCCAGACTGAATCTCTCTGGCTTCAGGGGAGTTCAGTGGCAGAGGAGGCTGATATATATGACATTGCAATTAAGACAAATACACTGTAGCTTAATGAAAACAAAAGCTGAAACATGTCCCGATGGGTTATTGACAGCAGAGTAAGTGACACTGTGGACAGTAAGGGTTCTAAATTTCCTGACAGGTCAGTTTGAAATTGCCCCTGTAGCCTTCTCAAGGAATACAGACAGAACACTGTGCTGTGCAGCATCCCCAGGCTGCCAGGGGCCTAGCACCCAGCAGACATTGACCAACCCTTTGTATTGCTCTGCATCCTTTGGTGACTGTGCCAAGGCACCACCACCAAAAAAACCTCAACCAGGATGGAAAACCTCAACCGGGACAGCCTGTTCCCGGAGATCCCACTGGTGTGTGTGGAAGGATGTTAAGCCTTTGGTTGGAACAAGCAGCTTTGCTAAGTGGCTGCTGAGACTTCGTCCTTTCCCTTTCCCTCCTCCCACTTGCAGCTGAATTAAAAAGAGCATAGAAGGAAAAAGATCCTATCCCTCCCTCTCCCCCCAACAAGCCCCTTCTCTTAGGGAGGAGATAGAGCATGCTGTCTCAGTGGGATAGCAGAAAGGACCATGCCCCACTCACCTGAGCAGGTGGCCTCGGCATCACAAGTAATGGCTGTTAGGCTGAGCAGCACCAGGAGGGCTGGGGCTGCTGTCCCCATGGCCAGCACTGCTCTTCACACGGCTCCCCACAGCCACCTCCCGGGTGCTGTGCTCAGCACTGACCCATCTGAGCCTTTTCTGTCTAATGAGCAGAGCCAGTGTAAGCTCCACCTCTGCCCACTGCCAGCTCCCAGCTCCGCGGCCCGGCTGCGTCGCCAGCTGTTTCCCACCTGAGCCGCTTTCCAACAGTCTGACGCCAAAGTTCTTATCTGGCTGCTCCAGCCTGCCTCACCTCTGTCCTCTGCAAATTTTGGATGCCTTTCCCTTCCCATATTGTGTTTCCAGAGCAAATGAACCAGCAAAAACAAAGGTTTAGCTCTGTGTAGACAGCTGCCCTCATCCTGCCTACTAGTAGCCCTTTTCCGAGAGCAGAACTTACTGTGTAGATGGGGAAACTGAGGCACTGGGACTCAAAAGCCCAAGGTCAGCTGAGGGTGTTACCAGCTGTGAGCTCCATGCAGCCTTGGGGACACTTGGAGGTGTCCCCCTATTTTCATCTGGGAGAGCGGCAGAGTCCTTGTTGGTACAGCTACTTTTGGGAGCAGGGAGGAAACTGCCAATGAACAAGCTTAGTCCAAAGTAGGTCAGGCTCCCCGAGGGCAGGTTTTGAAATTAGCTCAGTGGTCAATATGTCCTTGATTGCTTTTCCTCTTCCCTGCACCCAGTGAAGATTGCAGAGGGCTGATCAGTCACACCATCAGAAATTTTTTTGTATATTTACATTCTCCGTTGAGCCCTGGTAAACGTCCCCAATGACTCTCGTAAGTCCAGGGCTACTTGGAGATGAGAAAAGAAGACTTTTAAGTACACTGGGCAAATGGGGAGCACCTCTGAACACTTATAAATGTCAAGAATGAAGTTCCCAGAATGTAACTAATTCCCAAGAAATTAAGCTAAGAAAATCAGGAGGCATAAAGAGCTTCAAAACATTCATGTTGGAGCATCATAACCATGTGTTACAGGGGATTTAGCACTAATTAATGCTAAATTGTAAGTGAAATCCTGGGTTGTGGTGGGGCCCTGGGTCTTTGCTGCCACCAGGATGCTGGAGCTTTGCAGGGAGGATGGGGAGGGCAGCAACAGCTGCATGTATGTAAAAACACAAGCAGCCAAGCCCCAGGCACTGCATTCCTCTGCTCTGGGGTAACCTCAGGACATTGTCATGCATGCCATAAAGCTGCAAGAAGGGCAGATGATGGGGACTGGGAGGCCAAACTCTGACAAACCAGACTTTAAGCAAAGTGAAATAAGAGTTTTCTCGAGAGTTGGCACCATTGTGGATGCTCAAGGGGAGCAAGGATTCCATGTGTTTTGGAGACTTGCCTTGCTGGGAAAGGAGTGGTCACAGCCTGCAAGGGTAGGTTATCATGCAAAGCAACAAGGAAAGATGTTCTTCTGGCTTGGCCTTTTGTGGGCTGTGCTATTTATAGTGAATAACAAGGTTTTCAGGGTTTTTTTATGAACACTCATATTTCCAAGGGAGAATTTCTTCAGCCCATAACCAGTCTCAGTATCCATGGTGGGGATGTTTGCCCAAGCTGATAGCAGATTTTTTTCAAAAGATGTCTCTAGTTTCTCCCTTTCTCCTTCTAGCTTTTGTGAACATATAGTGCCTTTGAGTGCTCAAGCCCCTCGGTGCTAAGAACCCTGCTGCACATTTCCCTTGTCTTTACCACAAAACCAGTTCCAAGTTCCTGAGGCTCCAAAAAGGCAGAGCTAACTGGTAGAGTTTCTAAAGACAGTTGTCCTCACCAGGGAGAGGAAATGTGGGGAAGCAGAGGGAGGAAACTTGGCCCACTCATCATCTGGGTTTCACATGTTGTGTTGCTGAACAAAGTTTCACTCCCTGCATTCCCAGGGCAGCTTCAAAGAAAGCTCCTGGCTGCAAGGAACTCATGCTGCATGAAAATTGTGCTGGTTTGAGCTGGAGTAGAGTTAGCTTTCTTCACAGAGCCTAGCATGGGGCTGTGTTTGGGTTTTGTGCAGAACACAGGGTTGATAATGCAGAGATGTTTTTGTTATTGCTGAGCAGAGCTCACACAGAGCCAAGGCCTTTGCTGCTTTCCATACTGCCACACTGGCAAGGGAGTTGGGGATGCATGGGAGATTGGGAGGAGACACAGCTGGGACAGGTGACCCAAACTGACCCAAGGGATATTCCACACCATAGGACATCATGCTCAGTATATAAGGTGGGAGGAAGAAGGAGGAAGGAGGGACATCTGGAGTGATGGTGTTTGTCTTCCCAAGGAACCGTTACACGTGATGGGCCCTGCTCTCCTGGAGATGGCTAAACACCTCCTGTCTGTGGGAAGCAGTGAATTAATTCCTTGTTTTGCTTTGCTTGTGTGTGCAGCTTTTGCTTCCTCTATTAAACTGTCTTTATCTCAACCCATGAGTTTTTGTAGCTTTAACCCTTCTGATTCTCTCCCCCATCCCCTTGGTGGGGGAGTGAGTGAGAGGCTGTTGGTTCTTGGTGCTGACTGGGGTTAAACCACGACAAAAATCAACACTAAAATGCTTTGTTATTTTATTTCTGTGCAAAATGCTAAATGAATGAAACAAATAACAAACAAGGTCATGCTTAAAAAAATCCCCAGCTAAATTATTAGATGGTACACTAAGTGCAAAAGCTACTTCCATGTGCTTAGATCTAGCTTTGGCTTCAGTTTGGATTGGTGTTTGGAAATGTATCTCCTTATTTCACCACGGGGACAGTCAGGCATTGGAACAGGTTGTGCAGAGAAGTTAAGCAGTCTCCATCCTTACAGATTTTCTGACCAGACTGGACACAGCAACATGGTCTAACACAACAGCTAATACTGCAGCAGATTGGACTAGAGACTACTTGAGGTCTCTTCTAACATGAATGATCCTATCCTGAGAGAGTTTTGTGATAGAACTGCTCTTCCTAAGAATCTATAAGCATTTCTGTTTGAAGGTTCACAATTTCTTATTTCTTTAGACAAAATGTCCTCAACTGATACCTGATAATTTACAAGCAGCTTTTGTTTGAAACCAAAATTTGCTAGGACTGAGTCAGACCTTAATACTATCAGGTGTTGAGAGCCTGAAGTGTGATTCAGCAAGGACCTTAAAAATAAGAAAACAAACAGACTGAAAAGTATACAAAACTTCACACCTACTCAACAAACATCCCTGGCATACAAATTATACATTAAATATGCTGTAAGAAAGATAAAGATGCACCATCAAGCTTGTCTTTATATTGTGGGAGCAGGAACTTGTGTAGGCAAACATCCTCCTCCTGCCTCCAGGTTGTTTTGGCATTCCTCATGGACTGACTGCAGCACCTGGAGTGCTTCCACAGTCACTTCAAGTTGCCCAATCACTGCACTGGCATCCTGGCAGTCAAAGACTAGAAAGGAAACACAGGAAAACAGCATTAGCAATTTCATTTAAGGTTTCACTTTTGTTTAGCGTTTGGACAGATGAAAAGACACGTGGCATGTGCTAAAAAACAAGAGAGGAGAAATAAATAAACAATAAAGAAATCGAATTCCAGTGCAGGTCCTCAGCCTACCAGAAATGGAGCATGCTAAGAACTCAAATGCACATCAGTAGAAGTATTAGTGTTGGAATTAATGAAAACTATTGGTATAATAATTACCTATACAAAATAATTATTTTTCAGAAGATGTAAACAAAGATATTCCAAAGTCTACTAAAGACATATATGCATACTAATAAATCATTTTAAGCACAAATATACAGATTAATGCATTTTCTACCCTGTTTGTATGTTTCTATACCTGTTCGTGTGACAGGTCCAAAACAGCCTGGACAGTTATTGGTATTTAAGTAGTGAATTGTTTCTTCCAGTTGATGCAATGAAAAATTCTTTTAATTCCAAGCTTTTATGTGTTGTAGAAAAGTGAAGTGCAAGGATGATGCTTCTCTCAGCTAAACTATTTAACTACCTTCATCCTAGTGTATGAGGGTTTAAAGTAGTACTTAAAATCTGTTTTACAGAAATGAGCCAACATGATTTAAAGTTGCACTTGTTTACAATACCTAAATATGTCCAGAGGGACGGAATCTCTGCTGCTGTGATGAAAACATGTTGCTAAGTCAACAAGGAGGCCCTTTCCCAGTCCTGCTAACAGGAGGCTAGTCCTGCCTGCTGAGGCTCCTAACATGACTAGAAGGAATCTGAATGAAGCCAAACGAGCTGGACAGCACATCTTTTCAAGGTGAACTACACAGCTGACAAATGGCAAGGTCATGTAGTTACTACATACCCTGGGCTAAGCACTCTGGACATGCAATGATGCTGCATGCTACAACTTCCAGGCTGCTGGAACAGCTCAGAAGAGATTTAGAGAAGGGAAAACATCAGATAGACCTTCCATCATTTATGCTGTGAAAGAACTATTATAGGACAGATTGGATACTATTCTTAGGTATCCAAACCATTTATACATCCTTGGACGTATCACTGAACTGCCAACTTCAAGAGCAGACACTGGGGGAAGTATTCTTTTTATTTACAAGAACAGTAGGATAACTGTAATTAATTATATCAGAAGATAACATTCAGAATTTTTCTCCATTGTCATATTGTCCTATTATCTCCAAGACATATTGTTAGCTGTTTTGACTATACTCTTTTTCATCCATCTTTCTGCTTAGCCATTTACTTATCTCTTTCAAATTTCATGTAGGCAGCTTCACACAGTCAACAACAAAAGGAACAAGACATGAAAAACATACATGCTTGCAGCCTTCAGAAAGAGTGAAGGAAGTTTATGTATCTAACTTAAGAATGACTCTATCTCCATGTAGTAGTGTCCTATGACTTCCTCTGTGTCTAGGCTGATTACTTTTTCCTTAAACCAAAATCCAGAGATATCCAATATCTCAGAGAATGTGCACCATATTACTTAGGAATTCTGTTTATTCTGCCCTTACATTTAATTGAAGTCTGTGTCCAGATCTTAAGAACAGATCCTTTTGCAATTACTTTGTCCAAGAAAATATATAATG